CCCACCCTCCCCGCCTGTCTCACAGGTGTCGGTGATGAACCTCCTGCTGGTCGTGCTCTGGGCCTTCGCCCTGCCCTATCCCCGCTTCCGGCCCATGGCCTCCTGTCTGTCCACCGTGTGGACCTGCATCATCATCGTGTGCAAGATGCTCTACCAGCTCAAGGTCGTCAACCCCCACAAGTACTCCAGCAACTGCACTGAGGTAGGGCTGCTAGGCGCTGTGTCCCTGAGCCTTGCGAGCCTCCCACGGGTCGGGGGCTGCAGGGACTGCTTCTTTAGCTCAGGGGGTGAGGGACAGATGCAGAGGGCCGTCCTCAGGGTCAGGGTCTTCCTAGAGGAGGTGTCTTCCAAACTGATCTGTGGAGGACCCACTCCACATGCCAAGGTGTCTGGGCTGGAGAAGTATCCTGACTCAGCTAACTCCCTGACGAAATACAGGTCATGGAGTGAGGTGGTGCCAAGGCCAGATGTCTCCTCAAGGAAAGAGGGAGCCCCAGCCAGGCTGCAGAGGGGAGAGGCCACTTGGGGTAGCCCCTACCCAGAGCTTTCTCTTTACCTCTCCCTCAGCCCCTGTCTGAAGCCTCTCCATCCCTAGTCACCCTGTCCCCTTCCCCGTTAAGGTGGGTTGGAGGCTGAAAGCACCCCCATATCCCTGGCTGGGGGCAGCTGTGATCTGGCCCAGACCTGTTCTGGAGCTGTTGTTGGGAGAGGGACCCAAGGCAGGGCCGGTGGTTCCTGAGGTCAGCATCCAGTGACCAGTTGGGGAGCAGGTGCTGACACTGCCTTTGTCCCCCAGCCCCTCCCCAATAGCACCAACCTGCAGAAGACAGAGATCAACCAGTCCTTGCTGTACCGGGGACCCATTGACCCGGCCAACTGGTTTGGGGTGCGGAAAGGCTTCCCAAATCTGGGCTACATCCAGGTGAGAGCAGGGCCAAAGAGAGAGGTGGGCGTGGGACCACGGGGACCGGGGCATTTGGTGCTGGAGGCAGGGCTGGAGGGGCCTGACTGTCCCCCTCCCCAGAACCACCTGCAGATCCTGCTGCTGCTGGTGTTCGAGGCCATTGTATACCGGCGCCAGGAGCACCACCGCCGGCAGCACCAGCTGGCCCCGCTGCCCGCCCAGGCCGTCTGCATCGAAGGCACGCGCCAGCAGCTGGACCGGGATCTGCTTAGCTGTGTCAAGTACTTCATCAACTTCTTTTTCTACAAATTTGGGCTGGAGGTGAGGCTGGGCATCAACCCTCGGCCCTTCCCCAGGTGGGACTCAGCCACTGCAGGTCTGTGTCACCCTCAGTGGGGTCTTGGTTGAACATCTGCAAGGTGCAGGACCACAGGGACCCCCTGGGGGCACAGGAGGTGGACCACCAAGGGTGCTGGGCTCTCTCAGGCAAGGTCGGCCTTTAGAGTGAGGACAGGAGGGCCCGGACTGAGGGTGGAGACTGGGTCAGAGTCTCGACTTTGCCACAGAGCCCCCTAGCCTCAGTTTCCCCCCTGCACGGTGAAGACAGGTCCAGCCTCTCCATTCCTCCAGGAAGGTGGCATGGGATGCCCTGAACCTGGGCTACAGGCCTTCACTCTGTACAACACCCTACTGCCTTGAGGCAAAGGAGCTCTGCTGCCAGCCTGCCCGGCCACCCTGTGCTGCCTGCGGCCCTCTGAGCCCCCTGCTGGGTCCTTCCACCAGTTCCCTCCGTCTCCCCGTCTCACCTCCCCTTCCCCCTTCTGCCGCCCCCAGATCTGCTTCCTGATGGCTGTGAACGTGATTGGGCAGCGCATGAACTTCATGGTCATCCTGCACGGCTGCTGGCTGGTGGCCATCCTCACCCGCCGGCGCCGCCGGGCCATCGCCCGTCTCTGGCCCAACTACTGCCTCTTCCTGACGCTCTTCCTGCTGTACCAGTACCTGCTGTGCCTCGGCATCCCCCCGGCTCTGTGCATCGGTGAGCGGGGTGCGGGCGAGGGGTGCGCCCTGAGCACTGAGCGACCCGGTGCGCGTGACTGTGGCCGGGGAGTGCTGCGCGGGTGGAGTGTCCCTCCTGCCCAGTGTTGCGTGTGTCAGCACTTTGTTCTTGTTACTTGTTGGGTCGTATTGTTTTGGATGTACCCTAGTTGGTTTCACCTTTTACCCGTGGAGACATCTGCTGGTTTCCAGTTTGGGGCAGTGAATGTTGGTGTACAGGTTTTTGTGTGGGCGTAGTTTTCCTTTCTCCGGGATAAACGCCCAGAGAGGCTGTCCCATTTGCCATCCCCACCAGCAACGTGTGTGTGATCCAGCTCCTCCACCCCCTCACCAGTGTTTGGTGGCGTCACTGTTTTTGTATTGGCCATTCTGATACGTGTGTGATGCCGTCTCACCTGGTCCATCCATGCCATGGCCCACCACTCAGGGAGGCTACCCTGCCCGCCTGCCTGCCCTCTAGCTGTCACTCAGTTTCCCCCACGGAGGCCTGGGGCACCGTGTATGCCTGGGAAATGTGTATATAGCGTGTGCTGGAAGCTCTGGACCTGTGTGCTCTTGGACTCCAAATGAGAGTGGGTGTGTTTTTGAGTCTGACTGTGTGAGTGTGTATGTGTGTGTGTGAGTAAGGAATGACCCTGTGGACACTGGACCCCTGGAGGCTGTGGGTCACCAAATGGGAAAGGGACAGGATGTCTGGAGCCCTGAGGCACACCCTCTACCCACAGACTATCCATGGCGCTGGAGCCAGGCCATCCCCATGAACTCGGTGCTCATCAAGTGGCTGTACCTGCCTGACTTCTTCAGGGCCCCCAACTCCACCAACCTCATCAGTGAGTGCCCACCGGCTGCGCCCCTCGGCCACACACGCCACCTGCCAGCCTCACTGAAGGCCAAGGAGGTTCTCTGTGGGGATGGGCAGCGGGCAAGTGCAGAAGCTCCTCTCAGCCATCGAGGGGCACGTTGTCCAGGCCTTGCCCGCTGGCCCAGTCCTGTGGTTCCCCAGGAGGGTGGGGGGCTTTTTTTTTCACAAGTGTGCCTAGTCCTACAGGATATTCCCATGGGACTGAGGCTCACCTCATATGTGCACACCCTGCCGTCAGACACACATTTGCTTGCTGGTGTGTACGCAGGTGTGCACACAGGTCTGCACACAGAGATAGTTGTAGGTATGGACGCAGGTGTGCATGGGGTAGGCAGAGGGACAGACGCAGGTGTGCACAGACTGATGCCCACAGGGTGTGCAGTCAGGCATGTAACCCCGTTTCCTGACGTGAATGTGGTACATAGAGCCACATGTACATCACATATATACAGAACATGTACACAGGTAGGTGTGATCCCCAACATCCATGTCTGCGTGTGGACATCACTTTCCAGGGTTCACACTCACATACATGTGTCTGCTCAGTTTCCACATACCTGTCTCTGGTCTGGGTACAAGATCGGCCCCCTGCGCCTGTCGTGTACCTGGCTTGCACATGGCCACCTGGGGCCGGTGCAGCAGCGGCCTCCCATGTATCCGCAGGTGACTTCCTGCTGCTGCTCTGCGCCTCCCAGCAGTGGCAGGTATTCTCAGCTGAGCGCACGGAGGAGTGGCAGCACATGGCCGGCGTCAACACCGACCACTTGGAGCCTCTGCGGGGGGAGCCCAACCCCGTGCCCAACTTCATCCACTGTAGGTGGGTCCTGGGGTGTCACCAACCTGCAGAGCCCAGTCTGGGCCGGGGACTCACTGGGGCTGCATACGCAGCAGGTCTGCAGGGCTGACAGACACCTGGCTGGAACTGAGCCGGGGGCAGGCGCTGCGGGTGCTATCCTGTGACAAGAGGAGGGGTGGACAGTGACCTTGCAGCAGAGGGGCCTTCTGGAGTTCCTCTGGCCCGAGGCTGTGGGGGGAGGTGGGGTCACCAGCCCACAGTGACACCCCACCTGGCAGGTCCTACCTCGACATGCTGAAAGTCGCTGTCTTCCGCTACCTCTTCTGGCTGGTGCTGGTGGTGGTGTTCGTCACAGGGGCCACACGCATCAGTGTCTTCGGGCTGGGCTACCTGCTGGCCTGTTTCTACCTGCTGCTCTTTGGCACCTCCCTGCTGCAAAAGGATACGCATGCCCGCCTCGTGCTGTGGGATTGCCTCATCCTCTACAACGTCACTGTCATCATCTCCAAGAACATGCTCTCGGTGAGCCGGCCGCCAGCCCGCCTAGC